CTCCTTGTTACTCATACCCTGATTCCTCAATGCCGGAGCACCTCAGGTCAGAGTAACAAGCCTAGCACCAGTGTCTTTATCAGCACTCATTCCTGTCGTCTCAGGACTGAATTCTATCTATATATTGACACTCACAAACTTTAGTCTTCAGCCTGGACCTCTTCTAGAATAATACACAACTGCCTCTTCAACCTCCACTTTTGCATATCTAATAAGACAATTCATATTTTCTATAGCCTTACTGAAGTATAATTTATATATCATAAAATTTATCCATTACAGGTATACAATTCAATGATTTTTAAATAAATGTATAGACTGGTGGTGGCAACAGGTGGTGAGGAGGTTAAGGTACTGGATGCCACGTAGCCGACTTCAGGGTTCAAGTCCTAGACTTGGTGCCTTGAAAATCACCTGGGAGCATATGCATGAATGCCCAACATCCCAAGGGGAGATTGGAGGAGGGAGGGATTGCGGCATGGCCATCTCCCTTGGGAAGCGATTTCTCACTTTCCCTCTCTGTGGCCAGTGCACATGCCCCCTATAACAAAAATAAAGAAATAAGTAAAAATTGTTTAAAATTTATAGGCTGATACAATATCAGCATATCTAGTTTTAGAATATATTAATCAGCCTGACAGTCTCACAACTGTGGTAGCTGTGAAAACTTCAGCCGTGGAGTCATTAAAAGGGATAAAAATACATTTGGATCTCCGCAAATGTCCAATCACTCTTTATTGTTTAAAAAAAAATTTTTTTTTGGTAAGGAGAAGTTTTTGCTATAGGATGCGTGCGCTCACCAGAAACACAGAGAGACAGAGAGATAGAAAGCGACAAATCACCCCCCAGGCCATGCTGCAATCCCTTCTCCATTCTCCTTTCAGGATCTTGGGCACACGCGCCTGGCGTGAGTTTAAGCCACTGGGTCTGGGACTCAAACCGTGATCAACTACATGGGAGCCCAGCGACATAGCCATTACACCAACTGCTGGTCTCTGTTTTAAACATTTTGAAGAGCTCTCCCTGTAAAGCAGCAGATAAGTATTGTACAAGAGGAGCTGGATCTCACAAGGCTAATTGCAGTTTGAATCCCTGCATGGTGGCTTGAAAAAGACCCCCAGCATGTGCATGGGTGACCAGGACTTGACAGGATGGAGAAATGTAAGAAAAGGGTATTGCAGCATGGCCCATCCCCATTACGAGCTGCTTTCTTCCTCCTCTTCTCTCCCTCTCATATGCACATACACAGCCCGACTGGGGAAGAGATCCAGATTCATCGAACTAATCCGAAGAAGCCATTTCACTTTCTTTATTCAGAAAAGATGGTATTTGGGGCCAGCAGGAGGGGGGATGGTTTAGGCACTAGATTCCCACATGGATGACTGCTGGTTCACACTGGGCTCTTGTGCGTGTGTTCCCAAAAACCTAGGCGTAGGGGCTAAGTTGGCTGGGCTCCTGCATGTCTGATCATGGTTTGAGTCCTGGACCAGGCAGCTTGCTTTCTCGCTTTCCCTTTCTGCCTCAAAAAAAGTAAAAATAAAATAATGACAATGAATAAGGTTAAATAAAATAATTCTAAAAACAACAACACAAAAATTTGGCACAGAATGAGGGAGAAGGGCCATCCCATCCCTTCTAGTGGCTGATTTCTTCTTTCCCTCTCTCTGTCTCTCTGGTGAACATACATATCCTATGACAAAAACCTGAAAAGAAAAAGAAAAGAAAGGATGGTGTTTAATAAAATATCTCTCTTTAAAAGAATAATTTATAAAAATTTTACTAGTGAACCATGCACAAGTACTAATTGTTTTAAATAAATTGGAAAAGCTGAATGTTCTTATAAGTGGGAGCTTATAACTTCAGTCAGAAAAACCTTTTCCACATCTAGTTCAAAGATACTTATTATTAATTCTGAGAAGGGTTTCTCTCTAGGGAGTAGGGTTGGGCTTCAAACAGCACATGGTGGATGACAGCGGAGAAGAGCATTGTGACCCAGTCTAGAAGCCCTTGTTAACCCGCCCAGGCACTCCACTTGGCTTAGTGACATTCACAGCATGTGGGGCTGAGGGCCTCTGAACCCAGGAGGGACAAATAGCCACAGAAATACATAAATTCAAAATATGACAACTACTATGAAGGAAGAGTCCTAGGACTCTGAGCACCTCACAGGGATATAGTCTACAATGATTTTTATTGTCTTTAAAGAGGAAATAATGACTTGCTTTTTTTTTTTTGGACAGGATTTTGCTATAGGGCACATGCACTCACCAGAAAGACAGAGATAGAGAGCGAGAAATCAGCCCCAAGGGGGGATGGCCATGTCGCAATCCCTTCTCCTCCATTCTCCTCTCAGAATCTTGGGCACATGCACGTGGTGTGAGTTTAAGCCACAGGGTTCGGGACTCGAACAGTAATCGACTATATGGGAGTCTAGCGACATAGCTGTTATGCTAACTGCTGGTCCAATGCCTTGCTTTTTAAAAAGTGAGCTTAAAAAGAATGCCAAAGGCCTTTTTACTGAGCCGATTAAGATTTTCCTAAAGAACATTGAACCACAGCACACATGCAGGGTGATATTGTTGGCAAGAATTTTTTTTAATATATTTTTTAATTTAAAGAAAAGTAGTTTTAGCTTTAATAAATAAAAATTTTTAAAAATGCTAAGAGAGCTTTGCTTCAAACTTAAAGCCAGGAAACAGGCCAGGATTCTGTTCAAATAGTAGGTACATGGACTTTTGACTAAAACATTCCTGGTTCTCTTCTATGCTTTGTTTTCCGGATTTAAGGATTTTGTCAACATGAAGATTTTATGCTTCCATATAGGCATCAGATAAGTGGCACACTTAGGGACATGATGTAAGTAACAGTTTAGATCTTTCTGCCATACAAAAGGAAAAGAAAGCTTAATCCGGGAAGCTGCTTCAACTCCTGTGGCTGAGGGCCTGAGTGCGCACACGTGCAGCGGGGCCCGGGACCGCTCTCCTCCTTCTCTGCACTCTTCCTTGCACCACGGTTCTTTCTCTTTCGCCTGCCAGCCTTCCTCTTTGTTCAGTGCTGTTGTCTACAAGTGTCCCGTCCAATTCCCTAAGGAAATAGTTATTTCCTCAAAATCTAAGTACTCTACAGAGTGAAAGCACTTCCTAAGTTTTTACCTGTGGATCTGGCCCCTCTCCCACAGCTCCAGGCACTCAGCTCGACTTGGCTCCAGATAGACTCCCCAGCACCTCCCAGTCTGCTTCCCCTGCCACTTCTC